GTTAAAATAAAGCCCCAGAGATCCACAAGGCTGCCCAACCATACAGTTTGGGAAGCAATTCCCCATCCTCAGTGAAGAAGCCTGCCCCTTACAAATGCATCAGCTCTGGCTTCTCCAGGTGTCCTATTTATTGAGGTGTTGTGTATTTTCTTTGGTGTACTGGGCACCAACAATGCTGGAGGGTTGGAATCACCTGCCACTATCTGAATTGCCCCCAGCTTCCCTCTGATGGTTTCCATGGCAAACGCTTACACCTCCCACTTTCTATGTAGGATTCTGGCCAACCCAGGGGCTCCCACAAATGGTTCTTCTGACCCTACTAGAGTTGTTCCTCTTTTCCTCTCATCTATCAATGGATTTTATTTTAATTTCGAGGCTTATAATTGCATTGCAGCTGTTCTGGGATTGTCTGCAGCCAAAATTCCTCATTCTTGCCCCTTGCAGCAGGGAATGAGGAATTTACTGTAATGAGGAACAGGAGAGTTCACCCTCAGATAAAACCTTCCCTTTGATCTTAGCCTTTTGACTGTGTGTTTGGCTGCTAGACACTGCTTGATTCTCCTGCCAAAAGCCACCAAAGATTTTCCATGTCCTCTGCTCCATTTAGAATGAAACAGAAACTTCATCAGCTGGCAATCCAGGGCAGCTGGTGGCAGGGAATGAGAAATGTGAACCTCTACTCCCTAATGGTGACTACAGTTGGGGAGGGCACAGATATGATCAACGGGGCACAGACTGGGCAGTAGAAATATTCTTACGTGCTGCCTTCTGTCCTGTCTGGTCAAGTACCAAGGATGGCTGTCCCCCTCAGGTGGGAAGAGGTGGCATGATATCTGCACCGTGCACTACTTCCTGACCATCAGGACTGACATCCTAAGGAACTGCCTGTGGAAGACACGCAGGGGTATGAGACAGGAGAAAACTGTGGTTTCTCCTCCCAGTCCTGACCAACCTCCTGTGAAATTCAACCTCTTCCCAAGATGTTCACAGTTGAGTAGGGTTATCAGAGGCATCGTCTGCTGCTGTCTGAGTCCTGGGCCCAGGGCAGTTTGAAGGGGACTCAGAAGACACAAAGTTATGGTCCTTGTTAGATACAATCTTATACCCCTCGATTTATAGGAAGAAATGGAGAGAGTACCATCTGAATTTCCATCTCTCACCTTTTGCCTGAAATGTCACCATTGGTAACTTCTTCTTTGCAATGTGAATGCCCAGGAGGAGAGCATGGGCTGGTGAAGCTTAAAGCCCTCAGATGAGGGGATGAGTTTACCAGACCAGAAGAATCCAGGCCAATAAGGAAGCACTGGGGGTCAGAGGAAAGACAGGAGAGGAGAGATGAAAGAAAGACTTGTAAGGAAGCTGGGGCAATGGAAACAAACTGCCTTCTTCATGATAGTAACAAAGGGTCAGCCCGGGGGAAGGCCATTTTACCTCTATGTTGTCATCAGTCTAAACTGAGACCCTTTTGGTCACAGAGCCCTGGACCAGGATTCGTTTTAAAGGGAGGCAGAGGGGGGAAAAAATTCATCTTCTACACTCCTACACTAAAAGATTCTGCCTTTGAGTTTTAGGGAACCAAGACACTCCCTGGGGTGAAAGCAAACAGAATGCTTACCCGTGCAGCTGTCTGCAGGTGTCAACGTGCTCTCTACACCAGACTGTGAGATCCATATCTGCCTTATAAATTGACAGTACATGAAACGAGAGCAGGAGCCCAATCAACAAGTATTTAATAAACTAGTTAACCAAGGGAGTAAAACAAAGGAACTAAGTAGAGAAAACTGTCACTGTGCAGTGGTTTAGGGTCAAGAAATCTGGGTTCCAGTCCTGTTTTTGCCATTATAAGTAATTTTGAGCCAGGAGACCTAGGCAAGTCACACCGACCTTTGTAGTCCTCAGTTTCCCCATTTATAAAAAAGAGATTATAATTTTCCTAACCCACAGGGAGATAACGTCAGCCCCACTGTTTTGTCAGCCCTCAGGGACTAATGAGGACGAAATGCAAGAGAAAGGGGAGGGAGGGAGAAGCCCAGCTGAGCAGGATCACCAGGTCAGCTTCTCTGCAATCTCACTCTCAGCAGTTTGAGATCTTGCTGGGTCTTTCTAGCTTTGATCCTCCTAACAGATCTTTTCCATCAGAAATTGCATGGACTGGAGAATTAACTGTCTTAAAGGAGAGCATTCCTAGAGCCATCAAAGAGATTGTTCAGTTGAGAGAAATTAAGAATATGATTGCAACTCTTCCCCAGGGTACTAGGCTCTGTGTTGCAGGTGGGAAATAAAAATATTTACAACTGAATGGGAAAAAATTGCAAGAAGTTATTATAATTATAAACTTGTGGGCACCCAACAACATGGCTTTAAAATATATAAAGCAAAAACTGACAGAAAAATAATGAGAAATTGAAAAATCTTTACTCGTAGTGAGATGATTAGAACAACATAGTACCTACTAAATAGGAAATCCAGACTATACATGGACACCCCAGAGAGAAATCGCTCATGTTTGGGACTGAGGAGAATAAAAACAAAATGAGGAAAAGAAAGTTTCTGCACTTTAATTTCTCTTTATAAATGAGGGATTGATTTGATCGTGAAAGAAGTCACAGTTTCATTGGGATTTGGGGCCAAAGCCCAAACTAAGACTATGGAATGTGGCTGTACTTGTGTTTGTTCTCTGTGAATCTTGTTCTTTCTGAACCTGTCAGGGAGCAGCACCAGGATGAAAGTAGAACTGGGCTTATGTGTGGTACAGCCAGCCAGTACTTGATAGCAGAGGGGGGAAAGAATTTATAAGCTCCATGGAAAGTCTGAGATAACCAAGAGAAGGCAGATCGTAAGATACCAACTATAGATTCACTACGAGATTCTGACTCCCCTCCCCTCCTGGACCTCTCAAGGTAAAATCACTTCTACCATCCCCACCACCATCTACAGGGCGATTACACAGGCACTGTGTAAATATGATAAATGCACTGTCTTTCTTAATCTTCACAAAGGCCATTTTAAGTACAAGTTTTTATCATTATTCCCATTATACAGAAAAGGAAATTGAGGTTCAAAAAAAAAATCAGTAATTTGCCTGTGGTAACACAGCTGATAAATGACAGAAGAAATAAATGAAGTAAAAAACTAACCTGGCACAGCATAATGGCAACAGATGCCTTCCTCCTTTAAGTCTTAGGTCAGGCCTCCCCACGATCAGTAATTTGCCTGTGGTAACACAGCTGATAAATGACAGAAGAAATAAATGAAGTAAAAACTAACCTGGCACAGCATAATGGCAACAGATGCCTTCCTCCTTTAAGTCTTAGGTCAGGCCTCCCCACACCCGTGGGCAGGGGTCAGCACCCTGTGCTGTTAATCCATACCTTCCTATCCATTGCTCTAGAAGACAGTGAGCAGCACAAGACTGGCAACTTGTCTTGTTATTCCCTGGACCCCCAACTCCTAGTGTTATGTCTCACCCAGAGGGTACTGGGATAGCTCTTTAAATTGAATAGAACAGATTGAAACACATAATCCAAAACCTACCACACCCAAGCTCCATTCATGCAAATGGAGGCACCTGGCCACTTATCTCAAGTTTTATAAACTTTCTTTCCGAGCAGATTGCTAAATGTACCAGAGGCAAGAAGTTCTCCCCAAACTTCCTACAGCAGCAAAATCCTGCCTTCCCCATCCATGATAGTTCCCAGACCCAGCACCCAGGCCTCCATCACATAGGCAACTTCCTCTGCAGACTGACTGTGTAGGGTTCCCAAGGTAGTGGCATAAAATGAAGGGATTTTTGTGGCTGGGGGGGTCTTCTAATTCCCAGTTGCTTTTCTCCTTTTCTCCAGGATATCCTAGCACCCCATAAAAGGTGTGTAAATCTGATGTTAAACATGATTCTTTCTCCCATGCCCAGAGAAAGCCCCAATTTCTCCAGGAAAGCTTGTCTATTCTGGTTACTTTGTGCTCTGCGAGAAGGCCTGGAATATAGACAAGGTTGGGACTTAGCATCTAGCTGCTGAGCCCTTGTGACTGCAGAACCATACCCCCAACAGAGAACAAAGAACCCAATTATTAATTGAGAAGTAGGAGGAAAAGGAAGTTTTTATTTATTAATCACCTACGAAATCTTGTGACACTTTCAGCATGCTATCTCATTTAATCATTGCAACTACACCCCCAGGAAGTATTGTCCCCACATTTCCTGTGAGAACATTGAGACTCAGCGAAATTAAGCACCTTGTCTAAGTTCACAGAGACAGAAAGTGACAGACGGAATTTGAATTCAGGTCTGTCTGCCTCCAAAGACCTATGGTCTCGACTATACAGGCATGACATTCTACACACTGTGTTACAGATGGTCAGTGATGGTGTCCTTCTGAGTAGCACACACTCCCTGGTCACCAGAAAGACACTTGGGCTTAAGCAAGACAATGTCTTACTGAGATTGTCCTTGTCTCCTGGTGAGAGCATTTGGGGAGAGAGACATTGATTGATGCAGGTTGTAAAACTCATCTGTCTGTAATTACTTCTTGAATTCCAGCCAGAATGGGCCACACTGAGCTGCAGCTGTCCAAGATGCCTGCATCCTCCCACACAGCAAAGAGTCAGGAAGGGGGTGGTCAGCAAAGGAGCCAGGCAGGGGCAGAAAGCTGTCTCCATTCAATGGATATTTATGACATCCTTGCTCCACACCAGACCTTGGAGAGAGGGAGAAGAAAAGCTTGAAGCTGAAAATGTAGTTCCTTTATGTCAGTTAAATGTTTATTTAGAAAAAGAATGGTTTCTTCCTTTGAGGAGAGTAACAGGCACATGAATGAAAACCAATGGTGTGATGTGATGGGCACCATGATCAGGGGAGCTGGAGAAGACTTTCCAGAAGGTATTCTTAAGATAGGCCTTGGAGGTCAGGTCTTCTGCAGCTGTTCATCGGGTGGACAAGACGCTGGGAGGGGGGAAGGCCATCCGGGCAGGGGAGGACTTTCCAGAAGGTATTCTTAAGATAGGCCTTGGAGGTCAGGTCTTCTGCAGCTGTTCATCAGGTGGACAAGACGCTGGGAGGGGGGAAGGCCATCCGGGCAGGGGAGCAGCCTGGATGCAGGCTGAGAGGTGTGCTTGAGCACGGTATGCTTGAGGCACACAGTGAGAAGTTCCATGTCAGATACATCCACTGTCCTGCCACGTGCTGCTGAGAGACCTCAGGCAAGCTGATTTGTCTGTGCCTCAGTTTCCTGAAATGGAGAGAATAATATTGCCTACTCACAGGGTTGTTGTAAAGGTTAAATGTCATTATATATTCAATGTTTAGGAAAGTCCTTGGCACATATACAGGTGCTCAATAAAAGCTAGTCAATTTTTCAATAATTTTGTGATGATGATGATGATGATGGTGAGGACAGGACAGTAATGAAAAATGAGGATAGAACTTCAGGCCAGGGCCAAATTATTGAGAGTTTCAAATGCTACGGGAAGGAGCTGGGAATTTCATCCTGTGGGCAATAGGGGATTCTCCTGTTTCCAAACAAAACTCCAGCAGGCAGAAGAGTTCTGGACTTGGCACAAAGTGCTTTCACCCCCGTTACTCTCAGGTGAGCTCATCCCAGGGCTTCTTGGGGGAGGATGGGGAGAGACGAGGAGAGACAAGCTCAACCTGACAGGACAAGTTCCCTCACCATCAGGCCCCTGTCCCTGTCCCCCCTCATGTTCCTGCTGGGCACACTTGCTGAAGGGATTCATGAGGAAATCTCCAGGGCTCCTGAGATTTGAGAAACATCACAGACCTACTCCACAAGAAAGGGCCCATCTCCCCTCTTTCTGCCCCACTCACTGGCTCCTTCCATCTCCATCTAGTCCATCTCCCAAACAAGTCTTGGAAAATGGACATAGACATTCTACTGTCCCATGAAGCCTTCCCAGGTG